CTGGGCAAACAGTAGGTGCTTAGTATTTGGTGACTGTTTCTAGTGTCCCACTTTCACAGAGAGAATGAATGCTTTAAAGCAAAGCACTCATGTACAAAGTTCTTTTTCGAACAATACAAATTTCCTTAGTCTCTCTCTCTCTACTAAGATCTCAATTAACCACTTCCTATTATGCTTTGCTTAGATGATGATACATTTTACTTAGTCATTACTTAATCTAGAAACACTAAAGAATTATAATAGGGCCAGCGTTGTGCTACAGTGGACTAAGCCCCTAGCTGCAATAGCAGCAACACGTATCAAAGCACTGGTTCAAGTCCAGGCTGCTCCACTTCTTATCCAGCTCCCTGCTCGTGTGCCTGAGAAAGCAATGGAAGATGGCGCAAGTATGTGGGTTCCCACCACTCGTGGGGAGACCTGGCTGGAGATCTGCGCTTCTGCTTTAGCCTGCCCCATCCAAGGATGTGGCACCCATTTAGTGAGTGAGCCAGCATATCCAAGACTTCTTTCTCTAGACAGTTTCTCCCATCTTTGCTACTATGTTCAAAAGAAAGTCTTTTAAAAAAGGATCAGTATACTAGTCTTCCAATTTGATCACAGATTGCCATAGCATAAATCATGGATTGCCAACTCACACTTCATTCTTCAAGCAAATGTCTAGACCACAGTCTGTGAAAAAATCAACCCTGTGTGTTATTTACCACAACAGCCGTATGCCAGGCCAGTCAACCTATACATGGAATTTGCAAATGCGTTGTAAAAATGATTGTGAGCACCTGACCTGAACTGAAAAATAATGGAACAAAGAAGGCCATGGGCCAGTGCAGTCACTTAGCAGCCTGCAGCGCCTGAAAGCTATATGGGCATCAGTTTGTGTCCTAGCTGTTCCACTTTCAATCTGATTCCTTGTTCATGGTCTGGGAAAATAGCAGAGGACAGCCTAAGGCACTGAGCCCCTGCACTCATTTGGGAAGCCTGGAAGAAGTTCATGGCTCCCAGCTTCAGACCAGCTCAGCTCTGACCCTGCAGACATTTGGGGAGTCAGGGGAGTCAAACAGAGGATGGAAGATCTCTCCCCCACTCCAACTCTGACTTCCAAGTGAAAAATGTCTTTAACATAATTTTTTAAAAGATTTATTTATTTTTATTGCAAAGTCAGAAACACACACAGAGAGAGAGGAAGATCTTCCATCCAATGATTCACACCCCAAGTGGCCTTAACCGCCAGAGCTATGCCGATCCAAAGCCAGGAGGCAGGAACTTCCTCCAGGTCCCCCACACGGGTGCAGGGTTCCAAGGCTTTGGCCCATCCTCTACTGCTATCCCAGGCCACAAGAGGGGAGCTGGATGGCAAGCAGGGGCACCGGGATTAGAACTAGCGCCCATATAGGATCCTGGTGCGTTCAAGGTAAGGACTTCAGCCACTAGGCTACCGTGTTGGGCCCTAACATAATTTTTAAAGGCCTGACTCAGCATTAGGATAAGGCAAGCTATTATTATAGAGAAACAGAGACCGTAACCCATCAGATTAGCAAGCCTACAGAAAAAAGACAGGTTCAGGTGTTTATGATGCAGTCCCCTAAGTCACTACCAGGAATGTCTGCATCCCACGTCGGAGAGCAAACACATGACCAACCAACCTGAAAGGCCAGGGAACTAACTGTATCCCAAGACAAACCAAACTGCTTTTTTAGTGCTGCTGTCACAAACACACATTCTTTATCTTACTGGAGTCAGAAGTCCAAAATGGATTTCCTAGGCTGAAGTCACAGCGTTAGCAGGGGCTGTATTCTCCTCTCAAGGCTGCAGGACAGAATCTGCTTCTTTGCCATTTCTGACTTGTAAAGGCTCACAGCTCTTCATCTTCAGCAATGGCTGCTCCAGTCTGCACCATCGTGTATCTCAACACTCCCTCCTCCCTTGCTCCCTTCCCGTACTGAGACCTGCATGGTCACATGGCACTCATGGAACAACCCAGGCGCTCTCCCCCATCTCCAGGACAGTCAATTAACAACCTTCACTTCACTGTTGGTCTTAATTTCCTCTTGCCTTGAACAACATATTCACCAGCTCTGCTATTAGCAGGAAGACCTCAGAGAAGGGTGTTAAAGCCAAGAAACTATTTCAACTATGGTAGACTGTGAAAAAATAAGTACATTTATGAAGCTCTTTCTCTCTAGGAAATCGTGAGAAACATTATCAGGACTTGCTTCATGATAGAGGTGTCTGCTGGCAGCATTTTTAGCACCTTTGACAAGAGCCATTTGCTTAGAACTTCTGGAATGTTTTATTCATTTCTCTTCACAACCTGGTAAAGCTGGCATTATTTGCCTTTAATTGGCCAGAAATATTAAAGTCAGGGTCTCCCAAAGCCATTTAACTAGAATAGTAGTGAACTAACACAGTGTCTGTAATTTGTCCCTGTGTATTCCTGACACTCTCTAACCTGTTTCATTCCTTGAACTGTTGATTGAGTAGGTAGATACTATCATTCTCCACGTGGCTGGTGTTACTTGAATGAAGGAAGAAGCACCATCTAAGTGCCAGGCACACGGGAGCCTACCTGGAAAGCAGTTGACCTACAGAACAGAACTGGTTCTCGGTATTCTGTCACAAGGCCTACTGAGTCACACATAGCTTCTGACTTTACAATCCTAGAATCGTTGTAGGCTTTATCCTTAAAATGTTTATAGTCTGCTGGAGGAAGTGAACAGTAAACGTGTTTGAACAGTGTGCACAGGAAATGTTTAAGTTGACAAGGAAATAGTATATGTGAAGCCATCCTCAAGGAAACGGGGAAGAGCCCTTGGCCAGATGTGTTATTTATAACGCGCACAGCATCTGTAAGTAGTTTTCCAACCCACTTTGGGCAGTTAACTTTGAAGAATTTATATTGCTGCCCTTTCAAAGTAGGTTGTAGGAATATAATTAAGTGATACATTAATTAAAATAGTAAGGTATCAACTAGTATTAGCTTTCAAACTGTCCCTGAGAAATAATAGGCTGAACTGAAAATGACGTAAATAGAAAAGTCCATGAGGTTCCTATGACGTAATCATAAACCACTTGTTACTGATGTTAAATAAATACAGTCAGTGAGTTGTAATAGGACTCTAGCTGCAAGCTCGGAGTCAACTCCAGCTGTTATGACCACTTGGGGAGTGAATCAGCGGACAGAAGATCTTCCTCATTGTCTTTCCTCAGCTCTGTATATCTGACTTTCCAATAAAAACAAAATAAATCTTTAAAAAACAAAAAGATGCCAGCTTCCTTTTTAATGCATTTCCTGTAGGCATCTGTGGTCTTTCTCCTTTCTTTTAGTTCCTTCTTCTTAAAGACATCTGTTGCTTATTTGAAAGGCAGAGTGACGGAAAGACGCAGAGAGAGAGAAGAGAGAGAGAGAAAGAGAGAGAGAGAAACATCTTCCATCTGTTGGTTCACACCCAAAAAGGATGCAACAGCTGGGGATGGATCAGGCTGAAGCAAGGAGCCTGGAATTTCATCCGGATGGCATGTGGATGGCAAACATCTCAGCCATCATCTGTCTGCCTCCTTCAGGGTACATCAACAGGCAAGCTGGACCAGAGCTGGAGCAGCCAGGACTCAAATCTGCTTATCTTGGAATACAGTACCTTCCCCCCTCCCAATGTCCAAACACAGGCAAGATGTTCATGGTGTCTGTCCAGGGCCAAGGGATGGGGACTGAGTAACTGTTAAAACTCCTTCAATAAAGATTTTCCAAATGAGTTTCTGAAAGCAGAAGTCATTAAACTGGGACTAGGAAAACCTCTGAATCTGCATGCCGTTTTTCTATGTAACCTCATAAGCCCCTTACTATGTAAAGAGCTACACCATTCAGATATACTCAAAAGCATTTTTAACAAAGTTATAAACACTCTTCCTAGACTATTTTCATTTATGATTTCCATTACCATTCTATCAATTTCTAAGGCAGAGGGCCTCAAGCTCAATTCTACCAGAGTTCACATAAGGTTGATTATAAAAATACAGATGCCTGACTTCTACCTGAGAGAATCTCTAGGTGCTATAGAAAAACTCAATTTTTAACAAACTGGGAGACGGAGGAGAGAACCATGTACACACTGTCAAGGAACCACTGACTGCTCCAAGGAACATTTTAGGAATCATCAGAATGAAAACGCTTCCATCCCCCAATCTCCAGCAGCCCCAAAGCACTCATCTCGCTCTGTGGCTTCTCACAGAGCTTGCTTTCCCTGATCCACAGGCTGCACCTAATGTGCAGGCTAGGCCTTCTGCAGTCTTTTTTTTTAAGATTAAATTTCATTCTGTGGAGTGCCAAGAATGATGACTGACACATAACTTTCTCCACCCCACTCTTACGCCTACTGCTGTCCCTGTGCAAGAGCTAGGCACAGTAAGACATGTTGCACAGTGTATCTGCATTGTACAAGCCATTTTGCATCGTGTGCTAGCTGCACTGTATGTCAACTGCATTAATCAACATCCCCACCAAACAGCAATTCTCTACAGCAAACGCAGCCCCTTCTAAGCTCCACTCTTTCAAGGCTTAGCGTGAAATACTATCTCGGACTTGCGTGTGTGATGCTGTGTTTATAAATCAGGATTTTTAAACGAGTCATCGCGTGGCGCATCCCGTGTGGCCTCCAAGAGCTTACAGCTCCTGATGAGAGCCGAGCCTGGCAGTGACTCTCCATCTCACCAGCTTCTCCCGGGCCCAGGTGTCCAACCACTCTAAAGCCACTTGAGATATGACTGAGCAGAAGCTTCAAAGAGGCCTCACAGATGCCAGGCAAGGTCGAAGCAGAGGACGGATTCAAGCTCTCCCGGGTCCTTCTTCGGACCTACACGGCAGGCCAAGCCAGCGGACTCATCCACGAGGAAAGGACAGGGCAGGAGGGGTGGCAATGCGGGCACCTCCACACCCACACGCAGGACTACGAGATCAGAATGCCCCTGACCCTCCGCCACAGAGAAACTGACAGCTCCCCGGCACTCACCCCGCAGCCACCGCGTGCCGTGAAACCATCTCCAATTAACTTCGCGGCCGACAGACCACCTAGCAGTCCTCTTAAGCAACGCCGAGCTCCGCCGGCCGCCGAAGCCCAGCAGGCATCGTAGCAGCGCCGGGTCACTGCCCAGCCTCCAGGAGGCTGCCATCTTGCCGGCCTTCTCCCGGGCTGCCCGCGGCACAGCCTGCTCACCCAGCGCCCAGGCCCTCCCTGGTCCCGCCTTCGATCTAGCTGGCCACGCCCCCATGCCGCCAGCCGGACCTATCAGGGCTCTTGGGGCGCGGAGGCTTCCGGGGACCTCCTCCAGCTCCGAGGGCCACGCCCCCCGGCCCGGCCGCCACGCCACCGGCACTCAGCCCGCGAGGTCCTCCCGGGTTCCGCCCCCCCGGGCTGCCCTCAGCGCTGCCTGATGGCACCCGCGACCTCGCCGCAGTAGCCAGGCGGAACCCTGAGAGCGCGCGGGGCCGTGCGAAGACTGGAGACAGCAGGATCCGCGGCCCGAGCCATGGCCGGCTGCCTCGCTCCGGAGGGAGGCTGTTGCTCCCGGCGAAGCGGCGCGCAGGTAGGGGCGTGGCCACCGCTGCCCCCTCGGAGGGAGAGGCGACGCTCGGGAGCGCGCGGGGCTGTCGGCGCGCGGGCTGGGCGCGGGAGAGTGCGTGGGTTTCAGCCGCAGGGAGCCGTGGGGCTGAAGGGCAGGAGCATGGGCGGAGCGGGGCTTGTCCCAGGCCTGGCCTCCGGCGGCAGGAGCCGCTACCAGGGCACCAGCAGACTATCTAGCGAGGGTTCTGATTCTCTGCCACCCCCGCCCTTGGGCGCCTGGGGGGTGGTTGCTGAGCTGCTGAGGTGCCCTGGAAGCCAGCCTTTTGCCTGACTCCCTGGCTTCAGATTGAGTGTGAAGAGTCCTGGAACCGCCTCTTCCTTAAGGCTCTAGTCAGTTCTGCACCCTCAGGCTGCATCTATTTATCGCCTGCCCTGGGGTTCAGAGCAGAGCTAGACGAATATACAGGTTGAGTACAAGCTGCTGTCAAACCCTGCCTCACATGCAGAGCAAGCCCGACTCCCCGCCAAAATTGCCGGCTTTCTCAGGGTTCATACAAGGTCCAGCACAGTCCATTGCCCAAGTCAGCCTATGCATACACTGGTAGTTGCAATTGCTGGGTCAGTTCTATCTCCAGCCCCGGCTCCTACACAAACCAATGGGTGTTGCAGCCCAGTCCGATTCTGTCCACATCACACTTGGCCTTCAGGTAAACCAGCAGCAGCTGCAGCCTAGCTAGTGCAACCCCCAGTCCCCCATTAGACCCGCCCCTGTCCTGATTCCCATGCTTGCCAGTGTGTACATCAGACTGGTTCAGTCTGTCACACATTTCATTCAGCTCTCATATGTGTCGATGGGCATTGAATCCTAGTTCAACCCAACCAGCCCCCACTATCCAGTCCACACTGGTGCCACCAGGTGCCACTAGGTGCCAGTCTATCTAGTCATGCCTGCCACAGTCCTGGTTCTCATGCTTACCAGTAGGAGTGGCAACCCAAGAGGGAGGTGCCCACAGTCTCCCTAATAGACCCACTTCCACCCCCGGATCCTGCACTCTCCAGGTGGTTCTGCAGTTCAGCTTAACAAAATTTGCCCCTAGTGCCAGCACCTGCCAGCTGATGCTGTGGCAAAGTCCAACCAACCATCACCCACTGTGGTTTATGCATGCACCACTGAATACAATCAGCCCAGCCTGGCTTTCCCCCTAACCCAGGTCACTTGCAGGCCAATAGGTATTGTAGCCCTGCCCAGCATGGTGTGCCCCAATCCCAGCACTCATGCTCATCAGTGGAAATAGTGGCCCAGCAGAACAGCCCTTTGCAACCCCTCCCCCCAAGTATCATGTGTGCTGATTGGGGACACTGCCACCTAGTTGTCACAGCCCACCTCACCTCAGCATTTGCCAGTGGGTGCTATAACCTGACCCACCAACTCATACTGGAGTGGGCTATAGCCCAGCCCAGCCCAGTCAGCTGCCAGTCTCAGCCCCAATGCGAACTAGCTGGGATTACGACCTGGCCCAGCTTACCAGGTAATCCTATTCTGGTCCTCAGATCTGCCAGCAGGTGATATGAACTGGCCCAGCCTCGTCCACCCCAGAGCTGCACCAAATGTATGCCAGTGGGTACTATAACCTAGCCTGATCTGGGCTGCTCCTAGCCTTGGTTTTTGCACTCACCTGGAGGGACTGCATCCTGACAGGAGTTTCCCAAGCCCCTCCATCAGAACCTGTTTCAATGCTAGAACTTGCATACACTGGTGAGTACATGGCCCAACCCAATTTAGTCCATCTCCTGTTCTGGCAGGAACAGTGGGCTTTCCTGACTGGCCCTCACCCATTCCAGTTCTTACCGTTAGGTGCTACAGCCCAGCCAAACCTGATCTACACCCAGACACAGCTCACGCATGGCTCAACAGGGGCAGAGACTTAGCCCTGCCCATCTGACAGCCATCCTGGTTCTTATGAGCACCAGTGGGTGCTGGAGTCTAGCCTGGTCTGGCCCACCCCAGACCCAGTCCACATTGTGCTGAGGGACACTGCAGCCATGTCCAGAAAGACTGCAGCCCCCACCCTGGCCCTCATGCTTACCTGTGGGAACCACCATCCACCACCCAGTTCCTTAACTCCCCAACCAGGCTTCTTCCCAAGCATAGCTCTTGTGCTTGCCAGTGGTTGCTGTCATGCAGTTTGGCATCACCTGTCTTGGTCTTTGCCTTTGGATGCTGCAGCCTGGCCTGACTTGGTTGGCACCCGGTACCCGTTCTAGCTGACAGGTGCTATAGCTTGGCCTTGCTCAGTCTACTCTCATCCGTGGCTCATGAAAACTTAGGTGTGATAGCCTAACCTGGCATGACCTGTACTCCAACCTGGCTCCTGCACTTGCCGGTGGGCTAAGGTTTACTCCACTCTGCCCAGTATGCCCCCTTCCAAAACCAACCCACACTTGCCAAGGGGTGGAACTACCTTGCCCTGCCTGCCCAACACCACACCTGAACCATGTGGTCACCAGTAGGTTCTATGGCTCACTAGGGGAATTCCCAAGTTCTCCCACCAGACCCACTCCCAGATCTAGATTTCATGCATGCCAGTGGGTACCAGGCCCTTACCCAGCATAGCCTGCCCCCTCTGTTCTGGCCTTTGTATGAGCTGGTAAATGTTGCAGCCCAGCCTGCCCCACACCCTGTTTTCACATGTGCATGCGGGTGCTGCATCCTGGACCTGCCCGGCCTGTTCCTAGTCCCAGTACCAATGAGTGTAATCAGGTCCCATGATCATGCCTAGCTCAGCCTATCACTATCTCAACTCTTAAACTAACCAGTTCCATAGGGTTTGACCCATATATTTGCTACAGAATCTACTCCAGTACCTGGTTCTCTCGCATGCTGGTTAGTGTCATAGCCCAGCCTAACATTACACATCCCTTGTTCTGACACTTACTGTCAGGTACTATGATCTAATCTTGCCAGGCAGTCCCACAGCCTTAGCTTTTGTGTGGGCTGGTGTGTGGTGGTCAAAGGTGTTTCCTGCTAACAAACCCAGCTCAGGTCTCCCATGTGGGCTAACGCATAAAGGTCTTCAGGCCTCTCCCCTCCACACCAGGTCTCAGTCCCCTCACTTACCTATAAGTATAGTGGCCTTGTCATTGGAAGTCCCTCTATAGTCATTCCTCACCTGCAACATATTCCCTCTAAGTTCCTCCCTACCCCATATTCCCTTGCCTCCTTTTCTGATCAATCCACAATCCTACCCAGGAGTGCATGGGTTCTCCAGCCCAGTCTTTGGAAGCCCAATAGATGGTGTGCTGGTCTGGAGCTCTGCCCTCATGCCAAACTCTTGGCACATGCCTGGTGCCTTACCCCACCACACACTCAAGATCCAGGCCCATTGAAGTTCTCCAGGCCTGGTCCACCAGCACCCTGGGGCAGCGTGCTGACCTGGAGCACTCCCCCACTCCCCTCCCCTCATCTCACCTTGGCCAGGACAAGTTACATGGGGAAATCCCCAGGTTCATTCCACCATCCAGAGATGAGCTCCTGGGTCCCCACATGCCCCTCCAGTGCTATGCCCCTAGCCCTCCCCACTCAAGCCCACATAATTAGGTCCCCACAGGCTGTCCCCTCCCTCCCCGTATAGCTCGGCACAGGAGTGGCCACCTAAAAACATTCTGTATAGTGGGAGACACAAAGAGGTACAACAATGAAAACAGTAGGACTATGACATACTACACTGATGAGAAAGTGTTGGATCTTCAGGGACACAAACTATAATGGATGAAGGAATGCCTCTGGAGAAAATGAAGATGTCAGCTAGCACCTGGAGGTGGACAGAACCACATGAAGTGAGAAGGAAGGGCTTTCAAGGTGGGGGAATGGCATGTGTAGAGTCTTAGAGACACGGCATAGTAGTCTCATTTCAATAGAACATAAAGTAGGGGGCAAGGACTTGGGAAGAGATAAGGCTAAAGACCTATATGCCCTTATAGGCCAACTTTAGAGTACATGTTAGTTTCCTAAGGGCAGTGAGAAAGATGATGGGTAAAAGCCTAGGGTGCTGGCGAGAGGTGAAGGTTAGAGGTTAGAAGATAAACTAGAAAGCTGTGGCAAGGGATGGTACTGAGTTGAGCAAGGGATATAGGCAGTAACAGCAAGACAGTTTAGTTGTGGACTAGACATTTGTGAGGACAGCAGGATCTAAAAATGACTTCTAGATCCGTAATGGAGTCTTTGGGGGACTTGGCAGTCCCCAAGATAGAACACAGGAAGAAGAAGCAGTTTGCAGTGAGCCTTGCATGCAGCTCAGGGCATGGTGCTGCAAGCTGCGTAGTTGCATTTACAACTCTCAAACTCAGGATGAGTTAAGGATGTGCAAAATAGACCAAGCAGCCTACAGGGCAGATGCTGACTTGGACACCTGGGTTTCAGTTCTAGCTCTACTCCCAATTCCAGCACCCTGCTAATATGCACTCTGAGAGGCAACTGGTGATGGCTCCTGCTACTTAGGTGGAAGATCTGGACTTTAACCTGGCCCAGCCTCATCTATTGTGCTGTTATGGTCATTTGGGAAGTGGACTAGCAGATCTAACAGATAAAACAGATGTTCCCTCTCTGACTCACTGTCTCTATATAAGTGTGTATACATGCACAGGAGTTTTAAATAAACTTTAAAGATTTGATTTTAAAAAATAAAAACAATATTTGA